CAGTATGTAGTAGTAGTAGTAGTAGTAGTAGAAGCAGCAGTAGCAGTATGTAGTAGTAGTAGTAGAAGTAGTAGTAGTAGTATGTAGTAGTAGTAGTAGTAGTAGTATGTAGTAGTAGTAGTATGTAGTAGAAGTAGTAGTAGTAGTAGTATGTAGTAGTAGTAGTAGTAGTAGTAGTAGTATGTAGTAGTAGTAGTATGTAGTAGTAGAAGTAGTAGTAGTAGTATGTAGTAGTAGAAGTAGTAGTAGTAGTATGTAGTAGTAGTAGTATGTAGTAGAAGTAGTAGTAGTAGAAGTAGTAGTAGTAGTATGTAGTAGTAGTAGTAGTAGTAGTAGTAGTAGAAGTAGTAGTAGTAGTAGTAGTAGTAGTAGTAGTAGTAGTAGTAGAAGTAGTAGTAGTAGTATGTAGTAGTAGTAGTAGTAGTAGTAGTAGTAGTAGTATGTAGTAGTAGTAGTAGTAGTAGTAGTAGTAGTAGTAGTATGTAGTAGTAGTAGTAGTAGTAGTAGTAGAAGTAGTAGTATGTAGTAGTAGTAGAAGTAGTAGTAGTAGTAGTAGTAGTAGTATGTAGTAGTAGAAGTAGTAGTAGTATGTAGTAGTAGTATGTAGTAGTAGTAGTAGAAGTAGAAGTAGTAGTAGTAGAAGTAGAAGTAGTAGTAGTAGTATGTAGTAGTAGTAGTAGTATGTAGTAGTAGTAGTAGTATGTAGTAGTAGTAGTAGTAGTAGAAGTAGTAGTAGTAGTATGTAGTAGTAGTAGTAGAAGTAGTAGTAGTAGTATGTAGTAGTAGTAGTATGTAGTAGTAGTAGTATGTAGTAGTAGTAGTATGTAGTAGTAGTAGTAGTATGTAGTAGTAGTAGTATGTAGTAGTAGTAGTATGTAGTAGTAGTAGTATGTAGTAGTAGTAGTAGAAGTAGTAGTAGTAGTATGTAGTAGTAGTAGTAGTTGTGGTAAAAGTGGTGGTAGTAGTCCAGTTCAGGTTATTTCTAAATTAGTTTATGTTATAGTTAGAAAGTTTATGATCTGTAAATTCTCATGAGTCATGAAAGTTTAGTTTAGATCTAAAGAACGAGTCAGTTTACTTTTAAAACTATATGTTTTCTGAGATTAAATGTTGCCTAACATATAAAAAGAAAGGTCCTATTGGAAGGAAATGTTTCAACATGGCAGTAATGTTAACACGACCTGTAGCTCCAATCAGATAAGAGCTATCGGCAGCTCTTAACTCTTGGCTTACTAAAAACGATGTCTGACAGCAAGACCTAAAATTAGCCTCTCTTATCGGAATCCATTTGGCTCATTTTGCCCCCTTTACGATATAGGTCAGACATGACCGGTGTGCACCAAGGGCCATAACTCAATACCCCGACGACCACTTAAGCCAGCGATATAATGCAGGGGCGAAGAATTCTAGGAGCTTGGACACTTGAAGGCCCCTTCCCCCCCCTTCCCAGCCCTCCCTGCCAGGTAGGCCTAAATGTTTAATGTGGCTAAGCTGCCCCCCCCCCCCCCCATTGTACACAATCTCCCACTTGTTTATATATATTTTTTGCAATCTTCGCCAATGCTGGTCCCAAGCCTGGATGATAAAGGAGGAGAGTTGGGCGTGAGAGCAGCTCCCTAATCATAAAAAAAAATCGTTTGCTACAGAAACGCTGACGAGTGCGGTCTCAGCTGCTCTATCCGTGACACTGAAATTATTACACAGGACAGAAGCAAACAAATAACGAATAGACAGGAAGCCCTTTGTGGCGTATAATGATATAAAAGGAGAATGAATGAATGTGTTTTCAAATATATAATTATAACTACATGCGGCGTCCGTGGCTAAGGCGTTGCGAGTCTGTCTCGTAATTCCAACGTACCGCGATCGAAACCTGCGTGGGCTGCGTGGATTTTTATTGTGGTATAGGACGTCGCAGGTCGACCCAGCCTCAAATGGCTACCAGGATGGGCTGTCCTGGGAAAGTAAAGACGGCCGGCGTAATGCTGACCACATTACCCACCGAGTGCCGATTGGTCTGTAAAAATATGGGTACTCTTCCCATATGCCCGTTGTGCTAAGGGCGTGTAAAAAGATCTTTCTTTTTCTTTCATTATATCTACATGCCATTCAGCACAGCATTATTACTATTATTATTATTATTATCCCCCCCCCCCCATATTTTTTAATGCCGACGCCTCTGTTATAATGCAGCGGAACCGCTAAATCATTACGCCATATCTCTGGAACCAGAATGTAGACACAAATAGCCGAATGATTGGGTCGAGTTGTTACAGAAACCTACAATATTGTTTCAATCACACCATTCAGGCCAGCTCGACATTATAAAAGGGGAGCGATTCTGACTAGCTAGAACATGAAACTGATCTATTGTTGTTTGTAGATGACATATGCATAATTGTTTTTTACTGGTTCGATGTTCGGCCGTGTAAGTAATTACATTTTAGTCAAATCCTTATTTTCGTTAGAAATGGAATACCTAGTCTTGGATTTGTCATCAGCATATTGGATAGTGTCCTAGATTTTAATTTTAATTTTCTATTTTCAATAAGCTTTTTTGTCCAGAACATTTATGCTTATTTTTCGTATACACTTTTATTGCTGCTAACCATCTTCTTCCACCTCCTCTTTCTCATTCTTTTTAATCCTCCACCTCATCCTCCTCTTCTTCAAAGAATGAGATTTCAGCACTAGTGTTTGCTACTTGGTGTGTTTCTTCTCAGACGCTTGTCAATTATCCCGTCATATTCTTTGTATTCCTCTCAGAAACCACAGTAGGTGATAGCCTTCACCAGCTGTAAACTCCGGCGGAAAATTATGGCTGTTCATCCACTTGTGGATTTTAATCTTGATCCAGAACTTGAGTTTTTGTGCATATACGTTTTACAGATCTGGCTTATTGTATGCAGGCTGTTGATTTATTGTCTCTCAAATAAATGCACTCCGACTTTAAAGGGAACACCTATAATTAGTCGCCTTCTACGACATGCTTGTAAAGGTGGTTTGAGGTGGGGGGGGGAAGCAGTGGGTCCATTCTTTGTTCTCCAAAATAGAACCCCGGAACACAGAAGACCGAAAAAACTAGATCAGCGTTGAATGACGTGCTTTTCTATATGAAGCTACACAAGAAACATGACTAAACAGGACGCCATAATCTGCAGTCATAAAACATGTTATATTGCTGTCGTAACTCTTCTGGTTTGGGTTGGAATGAGACAGGTTCAGCTCTAGTAGGTAGCCCAATAACGCAGCGATTACCACGGCTTGCTGGCCAGTTGAGTCGAGTTAATCCTGTCAGTACCATGCAGATTTTACTTTAACCCCTTCTGTTCTAAAATGTTGTGCTTAGAAACAAGAAGTACTCTGGTCTAAGGAAGTTCATCTGAGACACTATAGAAAAACATGTAAAGTTAACCCTTTTCCCACGCTTCAGACGTATCGAACATTTAGTGACAGACTTTCTATTTTATATACTATTCGGTATTCTGTACTTGATTTAGTCAGCATCATCCCAGCCGCATTTTCTTTCCAGAACTATACCTACCTTTTTAAGAATGGGTGGACGTGAAAGCCAATACCATTTCTAAGGGAAAAGACCAATAATTCAAAAAAAAAAAAAAAGAAAAGAATGTCAATATAACTTTTGATTGTGGAAGAAAAGAGCTATAGCACCATTTGTCTGTCTTTTCTGTCCTAGATGCATAGCGTGTTGCATTTTAAACACACACACACACACAAAGAAAGTTTCGAAAAGAACCAAGAGTAGGCTGACAAAAAGACAACCAGAAAATAATTTCTATAGAGCCCTCATAGCAACAGAAATAAACGAAAACCGAAGCGTGTAGAGATGTGAAGGAGATGCAGGGCTTAGAAAGAATTATTTTAGGCATTTTTGCTGGTGGGGAGAACATGAGGGGGACGGGGATCCCTCAATAAACCTGTACACCCCGCTTCTGCGCCTATAGAGTTTATACTTGATTGTGACAATAAAAGACAGGAACATTAAGAGTGTGGAAAGGGGGGAGGGGGAGGGCGCACATTATAACATTTAATTTTAATTTCCAGAATTTGTTATCTGCAGCTTGAATAATGGGAATACAAGAAATGACAATGTCACGGAAAAGAATGGTACTTAATTCTATAACAGTCAATGGCATTATTTTGAGACATTATCATGTAGCAGGTCCTTTGCAGAACGTCGCTCATATCACGGTCTGCCTGAAAGAAATTCGGTCTCTCGCTTGCTCTCCCACCTCATGTATTTTTATACTCAAGGAGTCATTTATATCCTGTGCCCATCTTCGTGTTGGGTGGCCCCTGCCCCTCCTTCCTGGTACCATGCCTTCTACCATTATTTTTCTGCTTTCGAGACAGGATGCTGTTTGTTAGCCAATCTTCCTTGATGTTCAGATCTTTCAAGATGTCAGTATTTCTCCTCTTCTCTGTCCAAGATATTCTGAGAATCTTTCTATAGCATTTCAGCTCAAAAGCCCTGTGATGTGCGACGGCTCGCTGAGAGGCGTAGTTTCCCTTTGAAATGTGTGATCGAGTACATTAAAATGCTGCATCAGTGTATTCGGTGAGAACTTGATCAATGAGAAAATGTGCAATAATCGCCTCTTGGTGCAGACTCACCCAAAACGTCAACACAAGCTACCGCACACACACCATTAATTACTTCCAATGACACCTTCAGTTCAAACGACCGGTCAACAGTCCGGCCTTGCAAGTCCGAACGGTCACATCGATCTCCACTTCTGCAGTATGAATGAACAGGGTAATGTCCCTTTTGGATGATTCAACCTGGAGAATTCGTTATTAAAGATACCGGCTTCTTGCCGAGCGCAATAAACAATGTACCAGATTTTACCTGAGGTTTCTAGTGGAGTCTTGGGGTAGAGCGTCCTCAACGATCCACTGAGACACGACCACACGTCTGTCTCTTCCAGACTTTATACAACGAATGCACAGACAACAGTTCCTTAACAACATTACGTGTTGTTTTGACGTCCTAATTGCTCACTCAGTACTGGTGCGTTCTAGTGCATATCCTCACGCGACAAGCCCCTATTCTCTTTCCACAGAACTGTGAGATAGTAAACAACTCACATCCGTATGTTGCTACAGGGAAGATGCATGCTCTCAGAATTCTAATTTTAATCTCCTTGCTGGTGCTTAACTATAGACTTCTAATGCTGTTTAATCTTTGCATTGCAATGGCTATCTTTCTGTCAAACAGTCTCCATTGCTCCATTAGTTTGGGACAATTATTTTTCTTCTTCAGTCATGCTACGCATTGAGTCCCGTCTGGGTCACAAATAGGATTGTGCGTTTAAGGTCGCCACCGGTTCCCCATAGCTTCTCTTGCAATGTAGATCCCCTGGGCCAGATCCGCAGTCTTTGCTGGGAGAGGTAAGGGCAGTACTGCAGTATGTGTTCAGGGTCTGTATTTCTGCTCCACAATCACAGGCAGCAGATTCTTTTATGTCTATCCTGTACAGGTGGGCTCGAAGACCACAGTGTCCAGTCCGAAGTCTAAAAATTGATGTTTGTTCTTTCCTGTTGAGTTTGTTTATGCTGTCACTCTCTGGTCTGTAATCTCTATTCTGCTTTCTCCACTCCCGCTTGAAAGACTGCTTTAGCGCTGTTTTGGTTTCCCTGTAGCTGTGTGGTGGATGAGGTTGTGGAGGATTACTCCCAGCTTTTGCCAACTCATCTGCTCTCTCATTTCCTTGAATACCACAGTGGGCTGGTATCCACTGCAAGACCAGTTCTGCTTCATTGGAGAGTAAGCCAATGTTGGTCCTTAGATCTGCAATTAGTTTGTCTTGTTTTTTGCTTGATAGTGCTTGGAGAACAGACAATGAGTCACTAAGTATAACAATTTTTTGCCCTCTGTGTTCTTGAGTGATGAGATGTTGGACTGCAGAAAGGAGGGCAGTTGCCTCAGCTCTGAAGTTAGTGCAGATGTCACCTGCTGGTAGAGAGAGTTTCTGCCCTACTGCTAGGGGGTTTAATGTATTAGGACAATTACATAAATTTAAGTATCTAGGCACATGGATAACATTCGATTTCTGGTAAAAGGCCACAGTAATCAAGTAGCTACCAACATACAGATAAAAAGATTTTTAAAAAAGGAGGGGGGGGGGGGGAACTAGAAAAAGTTGAAACCTTCAAATATTTCGGCTCCCACATGTAACCATGGCAGCTGTAATAAAGAGATCAAGACAAGACTTGATATGGTAACAGCCGCAATGTCTCAGCTGAATACGATGCGGATGAGCAAAATCAGCATCGCAGTTCAGGTCAATATATACAATTTTCTGTTATGGCATGCAGGGTGTGCCAATACACGAAACTGATGCACGCATTTGCATGTGGCAGATTGTGCAGAGGCATGACCTCCCACGCCAAGGTACTTTATGATAAAGAGGCTAAGTCTTTTAGTTTAACCGCACCTTTAATTCAAACTTTAAAAATGCAGAGACAATGAGGGACAGAACTAACTGTAATAATAATAAGAAGAACTCCACAGCCAGAGCGAAAGCTTTTGAAAATCGCTCTCA